AGCCAAAAATAAGATAGCAAGCCAAAGAGCATCAGACTGACCCTTAGTCATTGGGCCGTAAGCTGCAGTTCTCAGTGCATGATTTTTTTTCTGAGTCTTTGCAGTGGAAATAGGTTAGGGTTATTTTGGGGTGAGCGTGTGTGCGAGAGAGCCAGTTTGGGGTAGTGGTGAAGGCACCAGGCTAGAAACCAGGAGACCAGGAATTCTAGTCCCGCCTTAGGCACAAAGCCAGCTGGGTGACCTTGGGCCAGTCCTCCTCTCTCAGCCCTGGGAAGGAGGCCAGGGCAAACCACTTGCCAAGAAACTGACTCGAAGGCACACACACACACACACACACACACACATGTGTATGAGAACCAGATTGTGTATCCAAATAGATATAGTAAATGGCACATACTCCATTGAATTCAGAATATTTTTATGGTCCAATCCAGAGGAATGTCTGATCAAGTGAAACGCAATTTTTTAACAGTTCTAATCCTCTTATTTTCAAGAAATGGCTTCATAATATATAAGGGCACTCCTAAAGCTTTGATCCCTTCTTTGCGGGGGGGGGGAGGGATGGAAGCTATCAGAACTCACGTTGACCACCATTGCTAAAGCTTAGTGGCAGAGTTTCTCGACATGTTGAGGCCGGAAGCGCATACAAACAATAACTTTTGCCATAGGCTTAGGTTTAGCAGGCTGTACCACCTAGCTAACCTAATCACAGACCTTTCAGGAATTCCAGGGCTGTGGATGGAGATTGGGAAGCTGAAAAAACATTTTGGAAGAAGGAGGGAGGTGGTGGCAACTCATTCCTGTAACGGTGCCAGGACAGTTGGGTCAACCCTGCCTCAAGTTCATCTTTATAACCCAGGAAACTAACCCCAAAAATGAACCCAAAGAGGATTGATTTATCCCTAAACACCTTAACTAATTCCCCTCTCTCTTTGATTACTTCCAAAATAGAGAGAAAATGATCTTTTTGAAATTATCCATTGAAAAAACAGACTCTGCATCTGTGACAAGCTCCTGTCCTCCCTTGTGATGGCTGAGAGGACTTTAAAAATGGCCCATTACACACTGATTGCATTATCCATAACTGTGAACAGCCAGGATGAGTTAATTTCCCTCTGGAGCAGCTGACTTGGTTAGGCTAGAATCTGGACTGACGTGGCTTTGCCCCTGTAAAAATCAACACCGCCACCATGAGCTGTGCAGAAATACCCCTGCCTGGCTCTGTCTCTCTTCTTTTCCACGGGGCAAAAGAACGTCATGGAGAATATACAGTTGGATCTGACTCCCATTTTGCCTCCTAAAATGGACTGCCTGAAGCAACCCCTGATTCTTATCATCCTTTTTTTTTTTTTAGGTTTGGTTATCTCCCATTGGGACTGTTTCTCCCCCTTCTTCAGTGGCAGTTCTATTTTCTCACCCAGATGTCTTCTTTTTCCCTGATTTTGCTGAATAAAATTATTCAAAGCTTGAAGTATTAGCAAGCGCATCATTGGCAGCCTCCCACCTCCACCCCACCCCACCCCAAGGTGCAGAACTCAAAGCAGAGATGCCAGAAGAAGCAATGAAAGGAGCACTAAGGGGCTGACTACATGTTACTCTGTGCTACTAGAAGCAACATCAGATACTGAATTAGACCTGACTGTGCCCCCCTCCCACCTAGATCAGGGCATGGGAGGTGTAATCAGCAACAGTGGCATTCCTCACATGACGGATACGAAGGTGAAGAAGAAAAATTCTTTTAGGACAAACAGGAAGGTTTTTTTCCCACTGCTATTAATTTGCTGCCTTTGGGGAATTCTTCACGATGGGAAGGGTTGCAAATGTAGCCATGCTCTACCCAGAATGCAGTTTGTCACCGTAAACACATAAAGTACTTTTTTTGAGCAGCAGGAAATGCAAATCGATCTCCCCCAGTGTAATTTAACTCTCTATAATGTATTTTATAACTATTACTTAATACTGTATTTTATTAACTGTTTGGGAAGCAAACTTTTTTCGTTCTTCTTCTTTTTAAGATTAGCTGAATAAAAAGGTGAGTTTTGCCTTGTTTTCAGGTCAGAGTAGTGTATTGGTTGGGTTGAGCCAATGCGCTTAACCAGGTCATATAAAGACTGAGTGGCTATATTTGCTCAACATGCTAACCTTGGTTAGTTTTAACCTTGGTTATTGGGTGGTTTTAGTTTGTTTGCTTTGTAGCTTAGCAATTTGTGGAAACCTGGCCCATTTGGTTCATTTAGGATTCAAAGTATTGTGCAGATCCAGAAAATGGGTTCATTTGGTCACCAAGCTAAACATGGCAAGGAGTCTGGAGCACCTTTTCTGACCAGCAACTGTTATTAAAAGGCTTTTTAATATTATTAAATATGTTAATATTAAAAAGCTTTTGTGAGCAGCTGCAGCTAATTTCATCAGATCCTGTATCAGTCTAAACCACTGTTTCTCAAACCTTAGCAACTTTAAGATGTGTGGACTTCAACTCCCGGAACTCCCCAGCCAGTATGAAGAAGAGACCTCTGGTAGAGGTCATCTGCATAGCAGCATAGAGGGAGGCTATGGGAAAAAAGGCTTTTATTGTACCCATATCACAGAAGATAAGAAAGTAGTGGGCCCATATTTTATCTAGTGAGTTTATGTCAGAGGTGAGATTTCAATCCTAGATGGTTCAATTTGTAGTTCAGTCTTTATTTAGCTCAACAAACTGGCTCGTTGGTGGACTTGTCACTCTCCTTTGTGCTTCAGAATCTCTCATTCTCTGTATTTATATTTTAAAATAAGACTCATAGTGTCACAAATCTTTCTGACAGGGTTTGGTAAATATTCATGACATGCAGATCAGGATTTGGGGATCCGTTTGTCCTCCAGAACTTCATTTCCAGTCTACCATAGTGCAGCAACCGTGCACACATTTTGCCACAGATACAGCTATATGAGAATGACAAATGCCTTTAAAATGTCCTCTCTTCAATTCTTAAATGTTTCTAGAAAAGCTCATTTTTATGAACCCTGCTTAGGATGGGTAGAAATCCATGACTGTTACTGATGCAACTGAACTTGTACCTTTGGGAGAGAAGACAAATGGCAGAATTATTCCAGAAATGATAGTTATCAAGCCCAAAGTATTGGGAATCTTCCCTCCGGCCTGCATTTCCCCTTCCATACTCCATTTAGTGCCAGACAGAAATTCTCTTGCATATCATTTTCTCCTTGTGTATTCCTCTCGTTCCATTTGATGAAAGGCAATTTGCTTTTTGAAGTTTCTTAAAAGCAGAGAAGCTTGGTGACATTTGCACGGATGGAGTGTGATGTTCTTAAGCTTCTTTAGTGATGAAGGTGACCTGGGGTGGATGTGAGCAAACTGCCTTTCTTTGTCATCTCCCTGGCTTCCCATGCTTCAGTGCTAAGGCTAGATCTCAAGAACTGATCCCTTGGAGCTTCATCTGGAGATACTCTGGGCACTATCTTGCCTTGCCTTTGAGAAACTGTTGGAGAACTAAGCAGTTTCTTCTCCCGTAAATTGGGTGGAGAATTCTGAAAGGCTTTTGGTCTCACTTCTGGCACTACAATAGAATGACACCATTATTTTCAGCCCAGATTACATTGTGGAGTCTCAATCTCTTGCCTTTCAGAGATGGAATTGATTGAACCCTGAGGGCATAGGGGGGAAACCCCAGAAAGTTCCTGTTTTAAATGCCCCTCGGTTACAATAAAGTGTGAAATGCTTTGGGGTGTTTTAACGCTTCCTTTTGGAAGCAGAAGGGGTGGGAACCTCTTTGCTGATGGAAGTGGCACTTTTTAAAAACAAGAAACAAAAATAAACTGGTTGTATTGCCTCCAAGAAAGGGTAGAAGTGACGCAGTGGTACTGTTGAAGAGTTAGAGTGTAAATGGTTTATCAGTTGGTTGTGTATGTTGATTTTATGTTTTCTTTTTTTAGTTGTTTTAAGAGCAGGAGAATCTAATGCACCTATTTTGCATTCTCTCTCTTCCCCCCCCCCCAAAAAAACCTCTTGGTACTAAAACCTACCATTTTGGTGGGGAGTCTCTTGGCGTTTTTGAAATGGAGGTTGAGTGCTGCTTATGACCCTAACTCTAACTCTGAATTAGCAAATACATTTACATATACGGGGGGGGGGGGTTGCTTTTGGTGGGGGGTGGGAGGCCTATTTTTTTTTTTTTTAGAATCTTGAAGAAACCCCCCCCCCTTTTAAAAATA